ACCAGTCTGATTAATTGTACAACTTTTCTGAAATATCCTCAACTGTATTAAAGTTCTCTTTTTTTACATATTGAAAATATTTATTTTACAAATTATTTTATGCTTCAGTAAATTCTAAAATAAACTGAATAAATATTTAATAAAATAAAATAATATATTCAATATCACAAATTTGGTCCATTTAGTTCGCTAATGCGTTTGTTGACCTATTTGAAGGCACTAAAATCGATGCGTTCCTTGAAAGCCAGCTTTGTTGTTGACGTTTTTATCTGCAACTTCTCGCCCTCCCCTGAGACAGTCTGTCATCCAAAATCCATTGAGCGTAACGTATGAGTACGAATGCGGAATGCACTGCTCCATATTCCCTACCCACTCTGTCAATCTGACATGGTCTATTAATTTTATTAGTGTCATTGCATACAGCTTAAGTCTCAGAATTCAGAATACCCTCTGCTGGGTAGTCCCTGTTTTGTGGTGGAAATTCTCATTTTGTTTTCTGCAATCCATGAGTTGCATGCACAAAAAAATTCGGTATTTCATCTACCACAAAAAGTGTCCGAGGAAAGATATATTCTCAGAAGAGTTTTCTATAAAAAACTTATTTTCACTCAGGTTGCAGCTTTGACCCCAAAATACTGCCGAATAATCTCTTTTCCGCCAGCAAGATGTAGTACACTTGTGTTTATAATTTATTTGTTGCATTAGTGAATGTCGTTGGCAGCAGCACTGGCGGACACTTCAGAATGTCTGGGCTTCACCCGAACGCCCAAAGGTATTAAACGCTTACATACTTTATAAAACTGAAAAACTGACTGAAGTGAATAAATATGCATTTAAATTACAGAATGTTTTTATTTATTTTATTGTTACTTGGTAGGGTTGTTCAACTATTAACTTTCCAAATAGTAAAGCTTTGTTATTTTAACTATTTATCATTTTCTAGAACGCTTTTTCACCACCACATATATCCTGTCAAGCCCCAAAAGAAACAACAATTTCTTAAAAATCCCAAATACTTAAGAAACCCCTTTAAAGAAAGCATTACAATAATAACGTAATATTTGTGTAAATGAAGTTTCCATAAAATACTCACAATTTTTTCATCTAAAATGTAAAGTTCATGGCCCTGGCAGCTAATAACATAAAAACAAAAAAATAATTGAGGAAAAATCACATTTTCTATAGTACCTATGGTAGTTTGTGAGGATGTCTTAACTTTTATTATACAACAACGAAAATTCAGCTGGTCATTAACAATTCCTTGCTATTCAACCGTTTTAAAAAACACAACGTCGTATGGGAGAAAACAAACAGAGACACTGTAGCAAACAGACACGGCACAGTGAGGCAACGAAACTACAGTAAACACTGCAGCAAGTGGAATGCAGCCAGGCGTGTTAATTGTGTCATTTACATTGGCAAACAAGTGCGAGCGAACAAGTCAAAGGCTCAAGCAAATTAATGCGGCTGAGCGAATCTGCCGAGCTCTTTGCACAGTGCAATTAACGGCGACCAAGGAGCTGGCAATATATGCAAATAATTAATTTAAGTGAACTGCGGTCAGAAGTATAAATAAATAAAAGATACAAAAAAAAAGTCTTGTCAGAAGTGGGATTCGAACCCACGCCTACAGAGTAGACTGCGACCTGAACGCAGCGCCTTAGACCACTCGGCCATCCTGACAGTGACGGATTCTAGCCCAAACGCCAATAAGTTTCTTTGCCAGTTGATCTAGCCGAAAGCTCTTGCCCCATGAAAAGTTCTTAGTGGAAAACTTTGATATACTGACCACTGATCGATAGCACAAGCATTTCGATATTTAAGAAAAAAATCGATACATTTGCGTTCAAAAATTCAAACGTTCCCATTTCCAAAATAAGATCCATGTTGCTGCTCGATGAAAACTAAAAATTGTTTCATTTATTTATTTATCCAGTATTTCATATGATCAAAAATATAGTAATGCAGTGGTACTTATCTTTAATAATTGTCTTAATTCATTATTTAGTTGTAACTCATTTCGTTTTTGTTACAATAATGTATTTGATCAGTGTGATAAGTGTTGTGTTTCAGTTTTGAAGATAGGAGGAGAACACTGCTACTGCTTCCTTCGCAATTTATACAGGAATTAAAAATGTGTTTTTTTTCAGTTGAATTTTATTTTAAAGAAACGCAACGTTTCCCACAAAAAATTGCTAAACGTTTCCTAAATATACATAGTTTAACTAAAAATATGACTACAATTTATTCAAAAAGTTCTTGCACATCTAAAACAAATGTTTTTTAATTTAGGCATTAATGTTGGCCCTTTATTGGTTTTCATTGTTTTTTATATTTTAGTACTAAGTCTTTCATTTGTTGCATTTTAATTTTGACTTTTCTCGTTATGTGTGTTTACATAATATTTTTAATAAAATTCATTTGATGTGGATTTTCCTCTTTTCCTTTAACTAAATTGAGCTAAAATATATATTACATATGCCATTTGTAACCTTTTTTCGCCTTTGTGTAATTAAATATAATTTTTGGATGGTTCCATTTGTGTTTAGATGCATTTCTTTCACGCCAAAAAGAAGCATTTTGCCAGGAAAATTCTCATTTTTCACTTCTTAGTTCGTGCTTTTAATTCATAATCAAGTCGATTTCTTTTCAGCTTTTAACATTTCATTCCTTCAAGATTTCCATACATTAAACTTAGCATAGAGAAGTACACTAAATATTATATAAATTATACACATATATTCATTTATATATTTGTGTGTATATATCGTATGTACATAATTAATAGGCAACCACTTAAGCTTACTATAAAAATAAGTATTGTTTATGCAATATTCATTTGCCACAAAATGTACTAAAAACCGAAAACTGTACAGTATACAATATTCATTCTCATTATCTTTATCTTTATCATTGTCAATCTGATCAACAGCATTCTAAGCACATACACAGCGCACTTCCAAACCAAACCCAGCTGCAGCTGTCTACCAACAAAACTTCAACAAACTTTATTTATTAGGATGAGAAACGAGTAATTTTTAAAATTCTGGCAAACAATTGGTAAATGAGAACATTCTGTCTTTACATGCACAATGTGATCAAGCGTTTTCTCGAATGTTTTGCTCGGCTTTCAGATCTTTTAGGACTTAGGCTAGTTTGGTTTTGGATTTGGTATGCATGCTAATGCCGTGTAAGGTGCTACTAAATCGCCATTAGTACACACTAGCTTCATTGCTGCTGCTCCACTAATGTAGTTGTCTCCGTGTTGTTGTCGTTGCTGCATCTGCTACTCCTGTTTTAGTACATTGACTTTCATGAGGCGTACATGCGGTTAATATCATGCTGATATCTATCCTGGATATCCTTGCGCTTCAGCTTAAAGGCGGCCGTCACCAGTCCCATGTCCGGAGACCAGACTTCCTTGCACAATGTGATGGCGGCGGGCACCTCAAACTTTTGCAATTTGCCTGCAAGATTAACAATTGCAATTTTAGAAAACTTCGACAATATTTAAATCTTTATCGCAACTTACATTTCCGCGCATGTTCGGCAATCTCCTTGAGTATAGCCTTCTCAATGACGGGCGATGAGCACAGCTCTTCGTAGGTCTTGTCTCCCAGTCCATGTTTTTCGGCCAGCTCCTCCAAATGCTTCTGGTTGGGCACGACCAGCGCCACGGTGAACTGCTTAGTGGGGTCTCCATATACGCAAATGTTCTCGATAATTCCACACGTCTTCAACTCAGATTCAACCTTGCCCAGAGAGACATATTCGCCGGCCTGCAGCTTAACCAGATCCTTCTTGCGATCTGCAGAGGGTGGGATGTCAAAAATCGATTTCTTGAATATGAATACGGTTGGAAAACCTACCAATAATCTTAAGTACGCCATCAGCGTGAATTTCGCCAATGTCGCCGGTTTTGAACCATCTTCGTCCGTCCTCCTCGAAGAAATCTTCGTTTGTCTTGCCAGGCAACTTGTAATAGCCCTGGGACACACAATCGCCTCCAATGAGGACCTCGCCCTGGGGATAAGGCCTATTTGTCACGCGGTAGTTGCCCTCTTCCCAGTTGACCAGACGGATGTCGCAGACAGTCAGGGGTCCTCCAGTGCGTCCATAGGTCATATCGCGATCTTTTTTTGGACAATGGAGTAAGTTACTTGAATCGATACGTAAGCTTGATCTTCAATCACTTACAATCCATTACTGTGGCTCCGGACGTGGTTTCCGTGAGGCCATAGCCCTGGATCAACTCCAAGCACAGACAGGTCTTGATTTGCTCATGGGTGTCTGAGGATAGAGGCGCTCCACCGGACATAATGATGCGCACCTTGCCGCCCATCAGCTTTGCCACCTTCTTGAAGACCAATCTGTAAATGAATTAAGAGCTTAGCAATTAACTCAAGGCCCTGATAAGTGCACTCTTCTTACTTGTCAATTAGCGGCGTCTTGTAGCCACGCTGCACCCACTTGACTTTGTACTGGTAGAGGAATTTGAAGAGCGATTTCCTGAACGCCGAGCCCGAGTTGACCTTATCGTTAATGCCCTTAGAGATGCGATCGAGTATCAGCGGCACCGAAGTCATGCAGGTGGGTTTCAGCACGGTGGCGTCACCCTTGCATCCGCGTTTTATCTTGCTGCTAGTGTCGATCAGGGTCAACGGGGTCGAGTAACCGATGGGCACGCCGGTCATCAGGCACACACTCTCAGCAACCAGTTCAAAAACGTGCGCCAGGGGCAGGAATCCGATCAGAACATCATCCGGATAGATGGGAACCATGTCAACGAAGCCCTTCATCGTGGCAATGCAGTTCTTGTGGGACAGAAGGACGCCCTTTGGTGTGCCGGTGGAGCCTGAAGTGTACATGATGATGGCAATGTCATCGCCCTTGGGTGGCACGTTCTCTGTAGAACAGAAAAGAAAGGAAATGGTAAAAATGGGTTTTTATAGAAATACCCTTATAATTTATACTAAAATGTTTAAAGAGCATAGAGCATGCTACTCTTATTTTGTCACGTTTAGTGAAGTTTCAAATAAGTACCGAAAACACTTGGCATACAAAACAAATTGTTTCAAAATTGCGTAGGGTAAAGATTTTAGTACCAAGACACGATTCAGAATGGCAGATGTCCTGGAGGAGTATATCACCCTGACGCCGTTGACTTGCGTGCAACAGTGCAATGCTTTACTAGGCACCACATTAGGAAAACCGAAAAGCTGCTTTGTATTTTTCACTCTTTTTGGAGCTTACTGCGGCGTACTCGTTTACCGGGCATATCGATCATATGCCTTCAAACAAGGAGGAGATGGCGAGAAAATATCAGAAGGTATTCAGATTGAGGCTAAAGCAGAATTCTTAAACGTAGAGCCAGGTTCCAGCCTTGTGAACGAGTTTTTTGACCGAGCGCAGCCAATCCTGTTGCAGCCTGTCGATTTTTCCAGCACTGACATGAGGTGAGCAAAGTTAATCACTAAGAAATCTGTTGATATATACTGCCCTTTTACAGATGGCGCTATTGCAGCCAAACGGCTAAACCAGAATTCAGGCTAGGCGACTCAGAAAGTGACGATGAAGTAGTCGAGAAAAATGCCACTGAAGAGCTCGAATCGAAAAGTAATGTAGTTGATGAAGTCGAGCCCTCAACATCCAATACAAAGCCTGAGGGGCATATGGAGAATGTTGATGGTAAACATCACAAGACAACCACCTTTTCGGTGTGAATCTCATTGCTCAATGGCTAGCAAATTTATCGTTTGATCGAGAGTAGAATAAATCCTCATTTTAGCACCCTCTTAAAACGTACCGAATTTGCTTTCCTGTCCGGTCTTGACAACCTGGCTGAAGGGCAAGATCTTGACGCCGTCCTTGAAGCCATTGGTTTCCGTCTTTTGCAGCTGATCCTCGATATAGATAATGTTCTTCACCAGCGGGCACTTGTCCAGCAGAGTCTTGAACTTGGGCAGCAGATCGTGCGAGGTGATAACCGTGGTGACTTCCGTTTCGGTGATGCCTAGCGACAGATTCGAATGTTATTTCGGGGGCGAACATATATGAATGCCGTGTGCAATGTACTTACAGTGGGCGACTCCATCGTCGCCTAGTGTGGCATAGACGGTGACAATGGGCATTGCCTGTTTGAAGCATCCGTGGGCGGCCATCATCCATTCGGCCCGCGTCTCGGCAAAGATGACGATATTCTCGCGCGGCTTCTGTCCCAGTTCTCGCAGACCGCGTCCGAAGTTGGCCGCCGTGCGCTCCGCCTCCGTGAAAGTCTTCCACTTGTAGTCGCCCAGGTTGTACTTCTTGAAGATACGTCCGTTCTGCTGCACCTCATCCTCCTCGCTGAGGATCTGGCGCGTGCCCAGACAGCGCTTCGACGTGTACGTCTTGGCCACATAGTTGAAGACCTTCTCCAGCGTGTCGATGTTCTCCTGCAGCATCTTCACGTGGACATCACGCGGTGGATCCGTAGTCCGGTAGGTTAGCTCATTGTCATCGTTCTTCACGATCTTTGCCTGGAAAATGTGCAAAATCGTGGCGATTACTTCGTTGTTGTGTCAGAGGTGGCTATTCAAATAAACGCTAGATTAGGGGAGGGACCACAAAGTAAAGTCGACAGAGAGATAACAGACATGTCAGTTTTCGAGGGTTTGTTGAGGAGGTGAGGGCCATAGCTCAGGAGATCATGTTTCGTTGACCAACACCAAAAAGGTTCTCCAAACAGGGAATTTAACTCTGGGTACGATCACCAGTCCTTGGAACGTGTATTGTGCGTGTGCTATGTTCATGTGTGCGGGGTATGGGGGTGCCCCAATGTGTCTGTGTGTCATGTGTGTCATGTGTGTATGTTCCAAAACAAATAGTATTATTAAACTATTAAAAACACATTTGCAAAAGTTAAACCTCAATGTCATCCGGCGCGTACTTGGACTCATCGACCAACATTTTCTGGTTAATGGGCTTGGCCTGTAGGGGAAGTAGGAGTTGAGATATGCGATGAAAAGCTAGTTTAGCCATAGTAACGGATAAAGATTTCCTGATCCCTAACGCACTGTACATTTCTTATTTATGATTTGACTTAAAGCAATGCACATTATTTTAAAGTTTATAGAGTTTATAGCAAGTTGCACACAAATTTATGAAGCAAGCGGTTTTAGTTCCCGACGTTGGCATAACAAAAATACATAAACCTTATCAGCCGACTGAAAGCGTTCCATTTAGATAGTAAAAATTAGATAGAGACATTTCTCAGCTGGTGCTTTTCCTTAACAAGCTGTAGCTGGAAAAAATGTATTTATTCTGATTTATTGTGTTAAAACACGCTGCATAAGAAGTTCCTTTATTTAATTGCTAATTTTGAAGTTTTTACTTAAGCTTTGAGAAAAGAGTGTGAGCAACGCAATGATCCAATTCAGTAACGAAGTCAAACAATTCCTCCACGCATGTTTCAGTTGTTTTGGTTCGGCCATTTACACGATCATTGCACTCTTGATACTTCTTGTACAAAGACTGAATATGATCTTTAGCTTCGCATTTTGCTCTTAGGGCTTCTTGTGGATCGACTAACTCAGTTTCTTCGTCATCGGCTTTAACGAAAGGCTGCGAGAACCAGCTTTTGAATTCCATACTTGCAGCTTTTAGAAAATACAGCTAGTATCGAGTTGAACAATTTATCTTCCAGGGGAATGTGTTATAAGTTAACTCTCATTTGGAAATATGTATATCATTTTCGCACTGACAGATAAGTCTTTTATAGCCTACATTTGTATATATTCCATGGAATTTTATCAGTAAATATTTTTTAAATTTTCAGAGTGAGTCAATAAGGGTGAATAGCAATTGTACAGCCGAGTTTCCTGATTATTTGGGGGATACACAATAATTGTTATTTTTTTGGGCCGCGCGACTCTCTTATCAGGACCACCTGCACAGTCTATATGGCCTGTCAACCTGTGCACTTATCGTACACAGCCATGATTGGGTGTCCTAACATACGCGAATTAATAAAGCAAAACGAAAGCAAGGAAATCGCTTCGGCTAATTGTCTCATAAAAAAGCGAATCTCTGATAAAGACACATAGATAGTGGAAAAAGTGGACCTGGTCAATAAATCAAAAGTCGTCATGCACATAGATTACAAAGATTATAAAAAATAGAAATCAAACAAAAACGACAACTGCCCGAAGTAAGTTTCACAGGAAAGAAACTAAATCTGGGAAAACCTAAATAGAATTGATAAGCAAGGGTGCAGTTTTCAAATAAATATATACGAAACTAAAGCATGCGATTGTAGCTAAGTTGTCAGGTCCCTGCACTTTGGAACGGCCAGTGCAAAGTCGAAAGTATTTCAGTTATACGATTCTAGAGATAGTTATAGTCAGGGCACTGATTGGCCGGGTGTAATTAAGTGGCTTTTTTCCATTTTGTTTTTTTTTTTTCAGCTATTAAAGTTTGTTGGCATCCTGTCAGCACGCTTACCTTTACTCGACGAGAGTCCTGCCGGCGTTTCCAGGGCTTCTGCATAACCAGGTACACAGGGAGCGTGATGATATCGTACATGAAGGCGATCGCCTTGATCGCGCCAATTGCGCTCTGCACCCAGAAGCTGTCCATTCTAGAAAGGCAATAAAATATACAAATTAGTGACCAATTGGTATGTAAATTTCAGCAGGCATAAACTATTGGTTTCCCCGTCTCATCACGTATACGCCCGGTTGGTTGGTTGGTTACTCGAACGATTCTCACATTGCACCCACCCACACGTTGTAGCGCCGTCGCAAGCGGAAAACCAACTGATATCACCACCTGCTGCTGCTGCCACTGTTAGCAAGTCTTGAAAGTCCGAAAGCGGAAAGGGTTAGACACTCTCACGCTCAGTTCGAATCGAATCTCGGTGCTCAGAAAACGCTTTTCGAACGGGCGATAACAAGTGGAGAGCACTGGAGGTGTTTGGCTTATTATCAGCTTGAGATTGCAGTATCTCACCCTTAAGGGGCCCGACTAATTGGTTATTAAAATGAAAAAAAAAAACTAAAGTGCATGTCTGGTATATATTATTATATTTCAGCTCCTTAATCTTTACATTGTTGTTATTTAAGGAGCTTCGAAGCACAAATGTGACAGAGGGGTAACAAAATTAACTAAATCTTGTGACTATCCTTTTCAACTTCTTTGACTAATATCGGCAAATTTAATCTATTACTTTTAGTCCATCAGCAAAGTATTTTTTCTCCAGACCCAGTCCAACTTTTCACTGCTGGGTAATAGCAATACATACTTCATTAATCATCGAGTAATCTTTATAATGTGAAAAAATTCACATAATATTGGCCTAATAAACGAAGCGAACTGCATTAGAATTTTATATAAATACTTTGATTTCATTGTTATTAGTAAACTAAGGTTTTCTTCACTTGCTTATCTGCTTTGAATTCATTGTTATTAGAAAACTACGTTTTTTTCACATTCTTATCTCTATTTTATTTTTGTACTTATCGACACCCAAAAATATCCTCACAATAAATTGTCGGCAATCTCACTTTCTTTGCAATTCCATAAAAACTTCCGCCATTATGCCAACTTTTTATCACTTTATTTATAATTGCATAAAGAAAAAATAGCTCATGCCAAATATATTTAAAATTTTGTTTTCTCATTAAAATTTGATCGCTAGACACCAGGACACTAGATAAACTTGTTATCGCAATGCTAATTTAATTAAAATGGTAGAATTTTAATATTAAAATAATGCCCGGCAACTTAATTAGGAATTTTGTTCATCTATAATTGTTTATCGCTCGTCGATGGATTAGTTTTAAAACCAGTTACGAGAATAGAACTCAGCTAGAAGCTAGTTATCTTAGGAGCCAAATCATGCTGAGATTGGCATTTAATCTTATATATAAACGTATATAGAACATGGCAATTGTTATATGTGAGCGATCGTAGCGTGTGGCACTTTTTATAATCCGTAGTGCAAATTGTAGTTAAAGACTGCACACTTGATAAAGACATCATGTATGAGTGCTGCCCTGATAAGCAAATTGAACGATAGCCTTGAACTTGCATTGCGCAAGTGGACATGACGTCAAGTTCCCAAACCAATGAGCTTTTTTCGGGATTTTAGGTCTGATTTTTTTGATTAAATAATGTAAATGAATAAAAAAAAAACTCTATTATTATTATTAGCCAACAATTAGTTCTATGTTTGAATAAAATCCCTGTAAATGTAACAAAGATCCATAACCATAAAGTCAACACTAAATGATATACATACATATGTACTCATGGAATACAAGAAAAGCGAGCATATATTTAAACAGATATTATTTAATAATGTGTATTTACTTACTGCGCATCGTCTTCGATAAACATCTTGCCGCTTGTTTTTCTTTGTCCGATGTCCGATTTCAATGGGTTATCTTGATGGGTGGTGGAAATTGGTGAGGTGCGAGAGGAGTGACGCTCTCTTTTTAGGGGATATCCTCCAAAGGAGCTTTGCTCTGATATATGGCAAGGACGAACAAACAATGGATGCAACAATTAAACGATGATTTCAGGTCCCTCTTTAGATGTGGTTCTGTTTGTTGTTTTCACCTGCAACCGGAAAGAGAACGAATATATGCATTTATGTTGTGAGAATGAGATAAGACAACAGAATGGGGAAAGTACGAGTAACAAAGAAAGCGTCCAAATCTGCATATTTGCATATAACCGCAACCAAAAGAGTGTGATGACATAATAACAAAAGATACTTAACAAAACAAAATATAATCACTGCTATCTTTTAATACCATTTTTCTACAAAAAGTAATTTCCCGTTTGCGTTCTCAAAATAGATAAAAATAATCAAATTGCGTAAAAATCTTTTTCAATTAGGCACCATTAGTTCTGGCTTTCATAAATATTATAATCAAAGCCCAAACAAGTTATTTTTTATTGTTCTGCTATACTGGATGATTGCCAGAAAATCAAAATGTTGATAACAAGAATATAGAGAACGATTAGAAATAGTATCAACAGAGAAAATAATATATATAGACTAACATTAAAATTAGACAGACAGTTTAAATAGAAAAAGCAAGAGAGTGATTGCATAACCGGATTCTCTAGCCCTCACTGGCACTCTCTCTCTTTCTCATTCCGCCCATTAGAAAAGATAGAGAAACATTGGCATAGGTCGGGGACATCAATTGGAACTAGTCGAATTCTTTGGCATTAATTTACACAATTTACAAAAGAAACACCTTCGCGCTTTTAGTTATTAGCAAATGTTGAAGGCAAGGGGCCAAAGTCCGCCAGACCAAGGTTTATCCGCTCTGAAAGCCGATATCAACTGGGTTCCTTAGAATCTGCCGTCACTGATAAACAACGAAGAGCATTCCATTCCAAGGCGGCCAAAGTTCGCTTCTTATGCAATCGCTCAAAACATAAAAATCATGTGATATGCGAGTGATATAAAAGCATATGCAAATGAGAAACTTTGTTTCAGTCGACTTCGGTGGAGTGCATTGAACTGCCCCCAAAATACAGATCTTTTGCTCGGTTATCCCTCGTACCTCTGACATATGGTTAAAACTCGGAGGAGCAGAGTCGAAACCGTAAACATTGTGAATACGTGTTTTGTTTGCGAAGAAAGAGAATATGAAAGCACAACGTAGAGTGCGAAAACAACACAGTTCGACATTTAAATATATGCAAACAAAAAAGACAGTTAGCAAAACAATTGGCACTGTGGGTAAAACATGGTTTAATAGAGCAAACCATGTTATTCTTAGCAATATTTTCTTTAGAATTACTTAAAATTGGGAATCTAAAGAAAGCAAAACATTTAATAAGGATATCTTAACTACTCATGGTTTTGTAGCTATTTAAACAGGGCAGAAATCAAGATTTTAGTGTCAACGTATCCATAAAAATAATCAAAACGAAGTTTATTTCAAAAAGTAACTTTTAACTTAGCTAACCCCAAAATGAAATTTAAAGGTTTGAGAATAACACTTAAATTTGTTTTAAATAAGTGCTTCGACAACCACTGTACAAGATTCAGAGTCATCGTGTAGCGCAAGCATAGGCGAAAGTTGTTTAGCTGCCGTTGTAGGTTAATGAATGAAAATTAAATGAAAATTTGAAATCGTTTAGCGTTGCATATCCATGAGTCGAGTATAAACATTTCCACAGATCACCAATGTGCCAATCCGAACTTGAGCCTCGGGTCAAAGATGTATCTCAAAGTACACAGAAAGAGACGTACGTATAAAACGAGAACATGGAGATTGGCGTGTTGGAGGCAAAGGTTATGCCGAGTGTTGTGCCTAACTAAGTAATCATGGTCCGGTCAAAAACAATAAGGAAATTGTGCGCATTAAGCCTGTGATTACTGTAATCCGTACTTTGGACGCGACACGCCCCCAACACCGCCCCTCTGGTCAACAATGTGCCATGTCGCACATGTGAAAAAATTATGGTGGTTGTGCCCAAATAAACACTGCTCTGAGAACGGATTGAATCAGATCCGATTCGTAAACCTTGGGGGTTAGATAACGCACACACGCGGCGTATGCGTAATTTCTTACAACAAGCACTTTAACCGGTACAAAGGTCAAAAGCCATCAAATAACTTTTTAGAAATCATCAACACTTGCGGTGAGCGCAAACAGATTGCGATTAGGCCTGAATTTAAAATGGAATTTATACCGTTGAAATTAAATTTCTGAAATAACAATTTCGGAAGGTATTTATTTATAAAAGTTCTATTTGTATATGTTACGATCCAATAAAGAAAGGCCATTTGGCAAATGAGCGTTTCGGTACACTTAATCGCAGCGTTAAAATACAATATTTAAAATTAGAATTTTGACAGGTAAACAGTAATTTTACCCATAAAAAACGGGTGTTAAGAATATTACGGTTCAATAAAAATACATTTACTGATAAGCTTTATGGTTCGGTTAAAATACAATTTGGAAATGAGTTTCAGCAAATAAACAAATTATTTTTGGAGAGCTACAGTCATATAAAAATAAGTTGATAATCTTAAGCGTTTAAAAACTCACATGTATACCAAATTTATATTTAAAGTCTTCCACTTACACTTAGTCAGAATTAAAAATACAGCCAGCATTCAACCAAGTGCAGGTTACAAGTTTGTAATGTTAGGGTGAAACTCGTTTAATTGCTTCTATTATAACAAAGGCAGAAACCTTGCATTAATTACAACTGACAAAGGTATGTAGGTTCTCGTAACTGTTTTTCCAACGGCTGTGGTGCTACATTACACAAACTCTTTCCGATTCGGAATTGATTGCTATTAGTATTTACGTACATTGCACGACAGACTGTAGCCGGTTGAAAAGCATTGAACAAATGAACACGTAACGCTTGATTAAATCAGAGAAAATAACGAATATGAACTAGACCAGACCTCGAACTTGAAAACACTTACATATGTGCTGTCGATTGTAAGCTGTTACTTTTGCTGAGCACAATTAAAATCCAAGATCGTTTTTTGCTCCAAACTGAGACATTACGAAATCGCAAAGCAATGCCAAAATTCGGGTGCAAAGCGTTCAACGTTAATTTGTATAGAATAGCAACAAAGAGAAAACCTAAACTCATAAAGAACACGTCATCAGAAATGCGTCAGACAAAAACGTGTCCATTAAACGTGGACTTCATTTTCGTATTTCAAAGTATTTCGAATATGTGGTACATTTCACTTTGTTTTGAGAAGTTGCGCACCCGGTAAACAGGTGACTCAACTTGTAACTTTTCTGTTTGGGCAACACTTTCGCAGCTTTAGTTTTGACCACCTGTCTATTCTCTGCTGATCAGCTGTTACACTGTTTACAATTGCGGTAATTGTCGTGCTTGCATAAATATTTTTTGAACTTTGGTTAAGGTGCCGGGTTTTATGGGAAATACATTGCCTTGATATTGAAACGGGCGGGCGGTGGAAAGAAGTGAAAATGTAAGAATGCGACATTATTCTACCCGCAAAATTTTAATGGAAGTGCATTATTTGATTTATTTATTTCCATGGAGGCGGCGTTACGTGAGTGTCTGCTATATGTCCGTCTATCCCGCTCCCTCGATCGGCCAGTCTCTGAGGAATAATGGGGTAACAAAATCATCGTATGACTGTGTCAAAGTCCAAAATAAAAATACTTTTTTTTTGCAGTCGCAGTACACACATAAACACGAGTAAAATTGTTCAAACGAGATTGAAATAACGACAGCAACAATGCTGTACACAGAACAAAATTGTGCTGATATATAAAAAAATAAATTTTCATTTCAATTTAGTTATTTTAAACAACTTGTTTTTTCTATTAATTAGTTTTTTGACAATTAAAGTGATATGCACATTTGAAAGAAATATAAGTACCATAATTCCATATTAAATGTTTTGAAACCTTTTGCATTAGAAACTTTTTGAAAGATATGAAAAACAAAAAAAATATTTGCTGTGTGGCCGCAACAGCATCAGCAAGTGAGAACATCATTTGCACGGGGCGTTGAATATTTCATTGAATGAAAAGCAGCCACAGAGAAAGAGTAACAAACATGCAAAACAAACAACAGAGTGACCGTGTGTGTGGGTGTGTTTTGGAGGCAAACTGAAAATAAATTTGATTACCGCCACAGAGCAAGAGAAAGAGAGAAAGGAGAGAACAACACCACCCACACGCAGAGAGAAAAGAAGATCGATCGACTCTCATTTGCACTCGCTCACTTCGCATGAATGCTCGAGATATGTAAATGGGCCTGTGTGAAAGTAAGGCAGCCGCGTAGCGCTAAAATAAATGACCTAGACAGGCGAGTACTTATCTTTAGAGTGACCATCAACAGTAGAGCACGTGCTCGAGTGAAATTTTCCAGAGGAAAACAAACTTTGACAATGATCGTGAGAGCAAGAAATAGTGGCAGTGGTAGAGGCAAACTAAAAGCCCGGTTTAATCGAAGCGGTACTGCGCGAAAACCGGTTAGAAAATCTACCAAAGTCATGACTAAAACAAACACAAATAATGCCCATACGATCCAGCGGCTTAGATCAGAGGGGTTGATCAGAAACATTACAAAATTATAGTTGGGTTGAGAGGTCTGAGAAATTATATGTAAGCATATATTCTTACAAAATAAGGTTAGAGATGCCGCATTAGATAAGATTATAATGAGCTATAAGCCTCCAGGAACATAGGTCTTTACTCCATGTCATCTCTTTATAGAACCCCCGTTTCCTCAGCCACTGCCAATATAACTGAGATACAAATCGACTTGTTTTCTAAACCTGCCGCTTGCCAAACATATAACTTTTTTTTGAACCGCAAACGAGATACAAAAATTCGCTGGCATGCCAACCAGAAATAGAAACGGGAACAAAAGCAGCAATTTTCGAGTATCAAGCTAACGACATAGTTTGAGAAATAATGCACTTTGAGAAAACGTTAAGAAAGATAGTTTTTAAACCCTTGCAGAAAGCATTATATGTAGTTTCAGTCAGAAGTTTGCAACGCAGTGAAAAACATTTCCGACCCTATAAAATATATTTAATCTGTCCGTCTGTCCGTTTCTAAGCAAACTTGTCTCTCAGTTTTAAAGTCATTTCATAAGTCGGCACGACTGGAAAACAAAATGAAACAAAATTTTCTGTTTTAAAATTATATTATTTATTATTAAAATAAAGCATATAGCTCCCAATCGAAATATTAATAAATAAATGAAAAAAATTGTAAAGAAAAACAGCCTTACCGCCGAAGAAAAGTAATTGTATCGAAAATTATAATATGCGGTTTAATATATTTTCTATTATTTGAAATGTGTGGCAAATATTTTACATAAAAAAACAAAATTATTTATAACTAGTTTTATATCTAATTTGGTTATATACACATATGTACATAAATAATTTTTTTAAGAATGTGAATAAAAACACCAAAAGATAACTCACTTTTTAATGATTGGTACATTTATGGTCACAACAACAGTCACAACAAATTAAATGTACCCTGCTTAAAAACGAATTTGCAGTTAGAAGAATAAAGCGAGATATGTAATACAATCGGCAGCTGTTGCATCGGCAAACCGAAAAATAACGGTTAAGTTAAGCTGTTGAAGCTGCGGGCAAACTGCCAAATCGGGGGTTGGGCAACAGGCCGATTACAGATTGTCGTTACAGGGGCGGTTGTGGCCAGGGAGCTGGGCGGGGTGATGCCCAGACATCGCGTGACTATTTTTGTCTCTGCGCCCAGTGCGATAAAGAAAATAGGGATGCGAAATAAGAATCAGCAAATGCAGCCACACAGAAAAAAAAATATTAAACTTTACAACTGCATACTAGAGAAGCCTCAAAGTTCATATTAACTTTTTTGTAACGTTTTTAATACAAAATTTGAATCGAAAATTTAAAAATAATGAAAGGCTTTTTTTTTTTAATTATGTAACTAAGCAATAGCATTTACTTTTTTTAAGTCTAAAAAAACGTATATATTATAAATTGTAGAAATCATTATCATTGCAATAGTAATGAAGTTCTTAAGTATTATAGTTTTTTTAAGAAATTTCAAAAATTTTTTGGAATAATAAATTTAAAAATTCCAGCATTTTGGTCAGTGTATCAGTCGGAGAAGTCACGAGGCGTTGGGCGAAAGGGACGGCGGCGCTGGGTGGCACTGTGTGGTGGTTGGGTGGCAAGCGGCAAGCAATGTGGCACGTTTTTCCATCGTTATACCAGCTGAAAATCGTATGAGTTTCAGGGGAAATGTTGCCGCTGCCAAGAAGCTTAAAACAAAGTACAATAATATTGCGGCGAAGAGAGAGACAGAAATTGAGAGAGCCGGTTGAATGCGAGTGTGAGTCTACTGTAGTGAACAGGGCGAAGAGCACGGGAGAGAGAGAGTCAGCGAGCCAGGGGCAAAGTGTGAAAAGGTCAAAGAGCAAATTGTTTACATGAGGCAACGCAACAGCAATGCGAGATGGGCGGAAAACTGGGCGGTCTGGCCATGAATGAAAGCTGAGACCGGCAAACACGGCTCGCCCACGAGTTGAAAATTTTTGGTATGGGAAAATTCGGTGCAGGTGGTGTTTCATTGAGTGACGCGACTAATATTAAATTTCAATGAGCTGAATTTAATTAAAAGAAAATTACTTGAAATACAAACTAATAAAAAACTTTTACTTTATGAAACTTATCAATTCTAATCTTTAAAATTGGTAATATGAATAGGGAGTTTTACTATTGTTCCTTAGAAACCAAAAAGACCTTTTAACATTCTAAACAAAATCATTCTAAAGTTCGACTGAGTAATTCGTTGTACATTTTTCTAAAAAACCAAATGACAATTTTTACATTTAAAGTTCTTTAAATATTATGGCTGTGACAGAATAAGCATATTTAGTTCCTACCTTTACTATAGCCAATCCATCCCATCCAGAATCGACTGACTTGGAATAAGCACGTAAGCCCGCTTATCGCTTGTCTATCTGTTCCGGCTGAACTTTAGAATAGCTTCCAGCTTGATGAACGGCCGAATGTGCACCCGCCTAGTAAATAACTACCGGCAGCTATGTGAGCGATATTCCGATTATTAAGTGCTTCCACCTCAAATGTCTGAGGCGCGTTTCCGGCCAAAGCAGAAGCCGCGCCCTGGAAACAAAAGCGTGGCATGAAAAGTGCAATCCGCCCACTAAGCGCCCACCCACGCCACCCATCGCTCAGCTGGTTGCAAGGTATTAAAAACATATGACACACGGCACACACACTGCCACATACCGATGACCCCGAACTGAAAACCGCCCGTCTTCCACCCACAAAGATAAAACTCGCATGATTTTCAGTTGGTATAACAAGCCGAGACAAAGAGAGAGATATATCCAATGGGAGAGAGGGAAGAGATATAGGACTGGGGAGCGAGTTTGCGCAACACACGTTACAAGAAATTTACACGTGCAAGCCAAGAAGGGGAAATCCATCAAAAGAGAGCGAACAGAGAGTGAGAGAATTTGTTTATGTGCGTAGGTCTCAAACGGAATGGGACTCTCCCCACCGCATTTAATTAGAATTTAAACTGCCTTGGGAAAGAATGCAATTAACAGGTTAAAAATAACGGTAAGGCAGTCCGTAAATAACAGTGAAGTTTGTATATGTAAGTAATATTTTTCGACACCTTATTTCGAGGCAGAGCGAATAATAATGTAATATAACCTTGGTCTTTTTTATGGTTCCCATAGAACACTAACAGTTTAATTAATTTCTTGTGCTAAAACTTTAAACAGGGTTTCTATTTCAGGATTCAAAAACTATATACAGAAGTAGATTCCTAGTAACTTATTAACATTTAGATTTGTTTATTTTTTCAACTTACTGTTACTGTACTGCATTGCATTTAAAGAAATTTGTATGCGCAAAAAAATTTTTGATTTTTAAAAGCAACACAGTTTCTTTTCGATAGAAATAGTAATTTATTGTATTTTTATGAGCGTCTCGCTCGATAAAAGAAAAATTGCATGCTATAAAGATAAGAAAAAATCGTTTGTACGGATTTGTATGCAAAAATTAAGTATGAACTGTAATTAGCCTTAAACGAAAACCAAAAATTCAAATAAATATGTATAAAATATGATATGTACATATATAAAATATTTGTAACAAATGGTAACGAATTCGAACACACACATATAATAAAAAAGCACATTGGTGGCGCAAGTTATGGAAGTCCGACTGTGAAATCAAGTGGCGAAAGCCAAACAAATCAATAAACAAACAGCAAACAAAATAAGTCTGGCCGCCAATGGCAACCAATTGCATAAGGAAAATGCAGCACCAATACCCGGACATTTAAATCGGGTCAAGAGAGAGGAGGATTGTTGATTCCTGGCCTCGAAAACTAAATTTCTTGGGTAAATTGATAAGGTGGCGTGACATCCTTAAAAAGAGGAAGCCGGCCGACGCGGATGATTGACAATAACTGCGACTTACCTCTTTCAGGGAGCCTAATTCTCAGTTCTAGACGGCAAAGGCGTAATTTTTATAGGGCGCACATGCAACGATTATCAGAACAAAATACAGAAATCAGCCAACAGATCACAGGATCGAAATAAATCACTGATTATATAAAATGACGTTTTGTGCCAATAAGAACGCACGCACACACACACGCACGCAAACGCACACGTAATACCAGCATAAAATAAAATGTTGCGTTGGCGTCAACACGTTTTTCCTTCTATTCTAAATCTATTTGTTCTCGGAACGCTCAGACTTTTTTTTTAGATAGTCTACGTTGCGCTTTAATTGATAAAACTTTCGCAAAACTTTCACAAAACTGCACAATTGCTCACAGACACAAATGCAGAGGGCAACGGGGCACGTGTATAGGTGTGTGTCGGTGTGTTTATCACGCCACTCGAAAATCACTTTTCTACTTACACACACTTAAGTTTTTTTTTTAAACTGCGTTTTAATGTATTTTTTGTTTGTGAATTTGCCTTAGTGAGTTTGGCGCCCGCTTGAAAAGACGGAAAGACGCACAACGTTCTCAAATCAAGTAAATTTTGTTTGTGAACTTATTCGCCGTTTTGCCACGAGATTATTTTCTTTCTCCTTCGCCGCTCTCTTTGCACTCTCTCTCTCACTCTCTCACACACGCTCTCTGGCAGCCGCTGCCGCTCTCTCCTTGTTAAGTGTGTTTAGTTCTGGCGTTTTCACTCAACTTTTATTGAAATTGATTATTTTTTTTGTCCACCGGCTGCATTCTCAATAACATCATGCCACCCACAATTGCGCTGTTGTTTTTAAGCCTCTGTTTCACGGTTTTTTTCGGATTTTTAATCTATTTGCATTTTACCGTGCCTAGAGATGGGAAACATTGATGCCAACATCGATGTCATCGATTTTTTTTTTCAAAATATCGGTCATATCGATATTTGGCAGAGTTATCGATGTGTATCCATCCATCTCTGTCCATTTCTGTTAGTTCGACGTTCTGCTAACATTTCACTGCAAAACACAAACCCAACACAAGCACGCAAATTCACCGCGAGAGGTGGTAAAATATCGATACCAACATTGATGTCATGAATGTTTTTAAAATATCGGTCCTATCGATGTTTGGCAGGGGGTATCGATGCTTATCATCAGCCTCTACCGATATTTTCTTGCCATTGTTAACTTCTCACTCCATTTCTTGTAAATTAAATACATATTAAATTTCATATGTATGTAGCTCCCGAAATAGATAATTTTTTTTCGTAAATTAAGTAAATTTTGTCTGCACAGTTTCCTATTCATCTTAAGAGCCTAAGGCAAAAAACTAGACCAAACTATCTTAATTTGTTTAAAAAGTATGCATGCTGCTATACAACTTTTTAGTTTCCGTGTTACCAGATGGTCTCCACTAACTTTGGATTATGCACTCGCTAAATTCTGAACGTTAGCATAGCACCAAATCATGTAGAAACGTCCAAGTATAATTACTTTTGACACGAGTCATGACTGACTGTAAACTTAGCATTGACTGGAACCAAGGATCATGTCTTGGTTCATTAAAAGTTATCGATTTATATTAAGTTGTGTTGCAAAACGTCAAAATTGTAACGTCTTAAAATTTCAAACTGTTTGAATTTTGTACTTCAAATATTTTTTGGCACGTTAAAGATACCAAAACATTTTATTTTTAGGTGACAAAAATATTTGTATCGTTGTTACTCATAGTAATTTATAATGCAAGAAAAAATAAGCATTTGGAAAACTCATCCCGACAAATAAATCATTATTTATACGAATGTTAAATTAAAACATTCATAGTTTAAGCTTTAAGAACAAAAACGCTGTTTTTTCGCTTTTAAAAAACTGTATAAAATATATATTTTTATTTTTATTTTAAAAAAAGACAGTCAGTCTTTGTGCAACAAATGTACATGGATAAATGCCGCGTTTACAATCGTTTTTCGCTTCGCTTCGTTTTCCATTTTGCTTTTTTTTATATTTATACTCTTGTTATATTTTGGTTGTAAGTACCGTTGGGGGAGGAGGGATTTCTCTTGTGGTCGATTAAGTAATAGTAATTAATTTTCTCTCGTTTCATTCGTTTCCGTTTAAGCGATACTATTTTGGTTCAAGTCCTTGTGTTTTATGTACATATTTAAACTAAATTACAAGCTACAAATTACTAGTTTGTGTTTTTTTGTGTGGGTGAATCTCGCTTTCAATTATATGTAAGTACAGTGTGTGTTGTGTGTGACGTGTGTTACAATAAATATCTCTAAGTTTAAGTATGCCTTAAATACTAGGATACATACATACAAAGCTGCTAGGCAGAGAGGGCGGCGGGGGCGTGGTGTCAAGGGGAATGTGGGCGTGGGAGGGGCGAGGGCGGGGAAGGCAGCTGCTACAAATACCGGACTTTGGGAAATTAACTAACATGCATACACATATACATACACACAGGTCTGCTGGGTTCTTCAATTTTCATGATTTTGTTTCGATTTGAAACAGTTTGTTGGTTTAGAACTATTTTTTTATATTAGAAATTGTTTTTTTTTCTAAAAACATATTTGAAATATATGTAGGTTTGAAATATTTAAAGTGTAAAATAAGTCTAGTGATTTTGTTAAATCCAGTTCTTGTAAAATACAATTAATTCTTTGTCTTGCAATGTTTTTTTTTTTAATTTATAAAGCATCCGAAACCCGTGAAAGCTAAGTTCCCACAACAGACCCGCTGGACAAATCGATTTTACAGATACAAATAGGGTTACGACTTAAGCTACGGCCTACAGCTATGGGCTAATGGCTACAGGAACTAGTGCTAGTGCTAACTCGTAAAGTTGTAGCTGCGCACCGCCCGACCGGGCGTCACCAGCTCCACCTTGATGTTGGCCGTGGCCGTCACCTTGGTGGTGTTGCTGTCCGAGTGCGTCGTCTCCACCGTCACCTCCGGCTGCACCACGATGCTCTGCAGCTCCGGCGGATAGGCCGCCGCCGACGCAAATGGGGGCGGCGGCTGGTGCTGCTGCTGCTGGGCGGCAGCCTTGTGATAGGCGGGGGGCGGGGCCGCATAGGAGGCGGGCCGCGATTCACGCGGCTGATAGCTCCAATCGTTGGGCATCTGGATGGAGGAGTTGCTGGACTTCCACGACTGCGGCTCCTCGGTGATCGTGGTCAGCGATGGATCGTTCACGTCCTTGTGGTGATGGTGGTGCGACTTCTGGCAACTGCCTCGCGAGGATCGTGATCCCTGCACCACATAGGATTTGCCAGATCTCTTGCTGCTGCGCACGGGCAGTGGCGACGGCGTCGATATCCGGTCAGGGTGCTCCAGGGGCACCAGTTCCGCTTCCGGTCCCAGCATGCTCAACAGTATGGGGAACACCACCAGGCTGTTGCAGGCGCCCACACACAGAACCACCAACAGGAGCCAGCAAAAGTGACGGATCACAAACTCGAACGGCGAGGTGGACAGCATGAACACAGCCACTCCGGAGGTCAGCATGCCATGGACCAGTGGTCCCAGGGACATCTGCATGCTCAGCTGCACGCGGCGCTGTCGATTGCCCACGGATGTCATGAAGCCCTTTAAATAGAAAGGATAAGGGTAAGTATATAGTAAAAACACAAAACAAAAAGACCAATGATTTGGAGTATAACCTTGCATCAATTTTTAATTTGATTAGTTTTAAGACTCAAAAATTCTTTGTTCAGTTAAGGTCTTTATTTTGGATGTTTGGGATATGATTAGTTGGAGTAAATTAAAAATCAACTCAAAGAATCTGATACAAAATGGATTAGTAAAATTAATATCTGACTATTGAATTCCCAATTTTATACTGAATATTTAAAATACTTTAATTAATGTTGAAATTATTAGATATAAAATAGTTCAGATTTGATTTAAATATATTTAAAACATAAGTATGGTTTAAATTTAAATTTAATGTTCAGATACTAAAATCAATTCCCAAAATAGTAATATGTAACATTTTTTTAATATTTTCATATTTAAAATAACTAAAAACCGCAATGGATGAAAATCAAAGGTAAAATATTGAAACTTAGAACAAAACTTTGAATTTACCAATTTTTTTTACCTATTTTTTTTTAAAGCTATTAAAGGGTATTTAATCTAGTATCATTAAAAAAATAAAAATTAAATAAAATACATATATTTAAAACCAGTATCTCAACACTATTGTTTTTTGTTAAGATTTGTTGTATTAGGGATGTAAGCACGGACTGAGTGAGTACGGAAGTTAATACCATCTTAGTTTTAAAAACTTCTGGTTTATTTTGTATCATTTAAGGCCTTTAGGCCCTTGGACATTTTATAAAACTATTTGCTTGAATCAGAGGCTCATCTGTGCATAATTTAAATGGAGTACTCACCAGTGATATGAGCACATTGAAGCACAGCATCATGCCCACGCTGAGAATAAGTATGACGGCTGGAATGGCCGACAGCTTGATGCCCAGCAGGGTCATGGCCCCAAAGATCTGGGCCAGCGAGGCCAGCACGCTGAGGATCACCAGGACGGCGGACCAAACGGAGAGCAGGAGCAGCGAGACCAAGACCAGGGCGGCCAGGAGCACGCAGGCCAGGATCATGGCCAGTGAGGAGCGCAGGGTCATGTACTGCTCCCAGAAGATGAACGGAATGCCTGTGGATGAATTGAAACCGAGGGATTAGCAGAGGTCAATTGAAGTGGAAGCCATTTGTGGACTTACCCGATGGATAGTTGGGCAAGCCGAAGCCCTCGAACTTGACGCTCAGGTCGCGAATGTGACCTATCAATGTCTTGATCTGCGAAGTGTCCGTCAATCCGTGCAGGTAAAAGGGCATCTGAGCGTAGACCAGCGGCAGGCTCTTGGGGATCTTTAGCTCATACTCGTTGGGCTGGTGAAAATACTGGCGCGGTTCTGGATACAGTTTGCCCTGTAAAATAAATGTTTCATATATACATTTAGTTAACAGTCTTTTAAGGTACATAAATATAACAATAAGCAGTAAATAAATTATCTTTTGTAATAATATTGCATTCAAAAGTCTCACTAAGTGCTTATAATTCCCAAAAAGTTATAGCAGAAGAGATGACTTATAAAACAGCTTTCAACACAATATTCAATTACAAATTGAAAGTAAACCCACCTGGGAGGCTCCGTAGGCGAAGACATCGTTGGTGGCCCATGCCGACAGATAGTTGTAAAAGGCGCGCGGGTTGATGATGCCATCGCTGTTGACCAGCCGATTGGTCAGCACCAGATCCTTGTCCACCGGATTGTCGACATGGCCCGTCTGCACGATCAGTTTGTAGGCCAGGATGGCGTCGCTGCTGGCGTTGGGGAACCAACACTCCTTGGTCAGCCGTCCGTCGCGGATCTCCTCGTCGAAGATCTTCTGCAGATTGCCCAACCATTCGCTAAAGTGCAGCAGCCAGAAGTCCGGCAGTCCACCATTGTCGTTCTTGATCACGTGTGGCACCCGGACAAAGGAATCATGGTAGTCCCGCAGCAACTGCTGCTGCGTGGGATACTCAAAGTTGCCCTGGGTCACCGCATACATGCTGTAGAATCCGAACAGACGAGTTTGGGCATCCAGGAACTTGTGCTCGTTACTGTGCTTGGGCACCAGATCGATGATGTCCAGCCCATCCTGCAGACGTGTGGAGGCATACAGGCTGGAGATCAAGGCCGCCAGGAAGCCCATCACTGTGAGGAATTTCACCCAGCTGCGCATGAGGAATGGTGTGTAGTGCTCGAAGGCGAAGCTGGCCAGAGAAAAGGAGGCCAGGGAATGGCTGCCCGCGGGACCCTGTTCCAGCAGTGGATTCTGGGCCGGCACAGGCACCCGGCTGCTGTTATTACACCCCTTCGGATGCCTGGCACCCCGTCCATTGTTGTTGTTCAGCGACAGCACCGGTGGCGCCATTTTGGGTTGCTCCTTCCACACCGGAAAACAGCAGCAGAAGATGTCCGCCCTGCCCGCCGTGCGTCTGCGCAGATCCAACGAAATCATTGCCGGAAAGACCAGCAGGGCAGCAGCCAAATTGGAGCACATAACGATGGCAGCCTGCAGGCAGAAGACCTTCAGAGCCGGCACAGGGATAAAGGCGGCGGCAAAGAAGGACCCTGCCGTGCTGCAGGCACTGAACAGGATACTCGGACCCACTTTCTTCAGGATCAGCTTGGTCTGCTCCCGTCGATTGCTCTCCGCGTAGGCAGCTGTCAGCATGAAGATGTGATCCACGCCAAGGCCGAGGGCCAGAAACGGCACCACCTGTGTGCTGGCCGCATTGAATACGATCCCGAGGAGGGCACTCAAGCCCAAACCTGCAGCCGTGCTGAAGCACATGAGCAAAACTCCGGCCACGCCCACACTGCTCTGCCCACGGACGGGATCGCGCCAGCGGAGCAGGGTGCAAAAGGCATACAGCACGGTGACAGCCACACCGATCACAATGGAAAGGGCACTGGGATGCGAGAACTTGGCCAGTATGTCATCGAGGGCCGCCGAGCTGAACACATAGATGTCATAGTTGGCGGCAATGCGCGACTGCTTGCGTAGCAGCTGCTCCACTTCGCGGGAAAAGTTGCGCTGCCAGGCGTTCAGCACCTCGGCGGCCTTCTCCTGCGACCAGCCGAGATGGTGCACCTTGTAGTTGTCCTGCCACTGGTCGTACATCTCCTTCTCGGTCATCAGCTGCACCACCGACTGCAGCGCCTGGGCCTTCCTCAGGTGTCCGCTGCGGTTCCGCTTCGCCCCGCCCACGATCAACTCCTCCGGCCAGTGCATGTGCTTGGCGGCATAGCCGTAGCATCCGCCGGACAGGATCGCCCCCACATCCGGCGGCTGGCTGCTGTTCTTGTTCGGCGCCGTGTCCGGGCAACTGGGATTCAGGGGGTTCAGGCAGGGCTTCTCCATGTAGCCACTGCCAATGGCCGCCCGCTTCATGTACTGCTCCACGGTCTCGAAGTCGAAGCTGATCTTCTCCTCGGACATCTTCTGCTTCATGTACTGCATCACCGAGGCGGGATTCAGGGTGGTCCACAGGAGTCGTTGGTTGAGGCCTCTGCAATGGGAAAAGAATTGAGTATTAAAAATAAATTATTAAATATTTAAATCAGCAATAGTCTTGACATTGGAAATCATTCAATAAACGTTTAAATTTAATTAAGTTACCAAAAGTTAAATAAGTAAGAAGACTCTATAAAATGTTTATATTAGTCTTTATAGTCACTTTGGGTTATGTTAAAAGGGGAAGAGTTAAAAAGCTTTAGAATATCCAAACTAAGATAGCAAAGAGGCAAAAATAGAAAAAATAGACAAACGTTTATTTTATAATAACGCTTACATATTTTAAGATAATTTAATGATAAGATTAGCAACTGTTTAGTATTAAAAAAAAGCTATAAAGGAGAGTAGATAAGTTATGTAAATTGAAATAGCTAAAAAGACAGAAGTACATTTGTAAGATTAAAATATACCCAACATCTTATTTAACATGGGGTTAGTAGGTGTTAACTTCAGGCTTAACAAAAAAGAGATAGAATGTATATTCTATTAATAAGTATTAATATAACTAAAGAATATAAAACTATAAAACAGAATAGACAAGTGATCTCAATTGAAAAAGCTAAATAAAAATCTTAAATCTTATTAAAGAAGTGGTAAGTTAACGTGGGGTTAGGTTGAATGCAAACGAAATAAGATAAGATAAAGAGCTATAAAACATTGAAACTTTTAACATTGACACCCAAAACAAGGAAGGTCATAGGTTAATTGGTTAGTGTATACAAGTAACTTACGGTATTACGACCGCCGATTCAGGCCCCAACAGTTGGCTGCCCTCCCAGAAGCAGTCCAGCGGCGTGATGATCGAGCACGGGATGAGGTGGCGCAGGATCTGCTCTATGTAGTAGATGCCCTCGAAGGAGGGCGTGCTCGGCATGTTGCACATGTCGCGCAGCCCCCACTCGGTGTCGTACAGGTGCACCTTGACGGCGGTGGCCTTGACCAGGACCTCCAGGTGGGCGAGCAGCGCCTGCGGATGCAGCACGGAGGCATTGGGGTCGTGGGTCGTCTGGATGAGCAGCTGGTGCGTGGCCGCCTCGCCCTCGCCGATCGTCTTCTGCGTGTAGGCCAGCTCCGCCTCCAGGCGTCCGCCCTCCTGGATCCACAGCTGGTGCACCTTGGAGTGGATCTGGGCGCTCTTCAGGCCCACGCAGAAGGTGCTCAGCACCAGGATCGCCACGAACAGCACCTTGCCCGCGTGCTTCTGCACGGAACTGCCGAGCGTTTCGAGGTGGGACTGGAATACTGATCGCAGATAGATCGCCGTGCGGCTGCCACGCGCCTTGCCCTGCAAAATGCAACGAAAAACGGAATTTGTCATTTAGTTTTTGTTTCACTTTCATTTTCCTTTTTTTTTTAATTTCCCTCACTGGCTCTGCTGCCATAAATAACGCATTAAAATTATAACGAAACAGCGTGTAGTCATAAAATTTATTTCTGCGACTCCCAATGAAGCCAGACCGTCAGGGTCGTAGTCTAAAGTTTTTATCACTGGGGCAGATAATACAAAACCCAAAGCCCAAAAAAAAAATAATGGTTTATCAACAAAAATTATTAATATTTTAAATTATATGATATACTTGAAATAACCTTTTATGACTACTCTTAAAAAAAACTTCTTCTTAAGAACAGATGGTGTTTGAAATTAAAATATATATTTAAGTAACAACTCAGATACAAAAATTAGACTTTTTTTTATTGTTTATAGGAAGCATTTTAATCCCCTTCCCTAGGTCCCAGCTTCCGGACCCCACCCAAAGACCCGTACCCACGTCCAGAACCATGGAACCACAAAAACAACACAAGACGCCGCTGTCGTCATTGGCGGGCCGAAAAAAAAGGCGAACCTATAATCGCCTGCTTGGGCAATTGGATCGATCGCTGCTGAGGCTTTGGGCCTGGCTCGAACTCGGCTCAGCTCCACTCCATTTCGTGCTTCTTCGCCGTTCTCCAGCTGCTGCAACGTTGCACGGAAATTGAACCCCTTTCCACCAAAAAACAAAAAAAAAAAAAAAGGGAACCATGAAAAAAATAATAATGAGGCTCGCGCTAACGCTAACGTCTCAATCGAAGTTTTAGCCCAACAATCAGACAAACAGTGGAACAAGGTTTCATTAAATATTTTTGTTGTTCAACTATTTTAAAATAAATAGCCCAGATAAACCTTTTCGTTTAATAATACGCAATCCTGTGAAATACTAATAGCAGTTTATTAGAAATATAAAATAAACTTCACAAGTTTCAGTAACTTAAATGTAAAATGCAATGAGCAATTTATAGTGTTTAGTTGTTAGCCTGCTAATGCTTTGAATTTATATATTTTACAAATCAAATGTTTGGAAATTAATTTTTATTTGGTAAATTGTAAAATGCTTACAAAAATGTTACCAATTAAAATTAGAAATTCTTTCCTAATATAAACTTTTAAGAGAGAGACCTTTTTCTGAACATAAGCACTGTGCAACTGTGGCGCACCCAGTGAAGTCGGGAATCAAGGCATCCAAATAACACATTCCACACAGACCCAAACTCGAATCTTCTCGAAGTTGGGCTCTTCGTTCTGGCGTCTTTGCGCTGCGCCCGCCTTTTATCGCTTTTCACAGATTTTTCCCGGGCCAAGTCAGGTTGTTGTGGCCAGCACAAAAAAAAAAAAAGAAGTGGAGTGGTGAAAAAAGCTGAAGCACACAGAAATGGCTTTGTTGTTTGGTTTTTTTCAGCGTTTTACGACTACCGTTAAGATAGAGCGGGAGTCACTCGTAAATAATGCACCGCTTAATGTCTTTGTTGGCTTAGGATCAAATGGTGTAGGACGGATGGATGGATGGATGGATGGATATGCAGGATAGTATCCCTGCACTGCACTTCCTGCTGTTTACTTATGCTGGCCAAGCAAGCCTTGCCGCATTTCCGCAATGGAAGACAAATAAGACATCAAACGCGGCGCGCTCGACTTTGTCGCCATTAATTAAGTCGTTGGCGGCACATCCACTTTGAAACTGCCTGCGGGGCGACCTGTTCGTGGAATTTTTCCATAATTTTTTCCCCATCCCATGCAACACAAGGTGCGCAAACAAAAGATGCACAAAATTCTAGGAATCTCTGGCCACAAACATTGTTGCCTTGGCCCCTTGGGGCGGCCGGGCCTAAAAATAAACTTAATCTAGATTTGTCCGGCATTCCAGTGACTCGCAAACTGTGTGTGGCTTAAAATTGAGCCATCAACGCTTGTCAGCAGCCGTCTCTTTTGCTCCGCACAAGCCCTCTCTTTCGCTCCACCCTAGAGCCGTCTTTATTTTTTTGAGCCTCGGATACATGCTGCTCGATCTGTGTGACATATCATCAATCTTGCGCTGTTTTTGCCTTGCGTGCCTCTTTTTCCCTGTTTTTTTTTTTTTCATGAGTTTCGTTAGTTTTTGCCCACCCCCGCAGCTCTTGTTCGCTGTTGAGGAAATGTCACGCATTGATTTATGATCCTGCCCGGGGTTTCCTATGTTTCTCTCTGCTGCATTTTCAAATGAAAATGTTACTTTAGCTCTTTGTGCTTGCTTTTGTTGCTGCTGTTGCGACAGCTTCATTAGAAATGCGCACACACAGCAAAACCGAATGTTCCTCCGGCCACCGAGCTCCTTAATCCCCGATGCGCCGAAATGGAGAAATGAAGACAAGCTCACAGAGGCCGGGTCCCATGACGAATGGGTTCGAGCGAGATACAGATACGGTGGCCGAAAAAGAAGACAACAGTTGGGAAGAGCAGGTGCAGGTAGAGCTGAGATATTGGGTTAAAGTATAACAGAAGTACACGGAGAAAAACCAATGTTCCCTGCTTGTTCTCAGCAAATCTTTACTTTGTTTGCATTTAGAATAGATTTTTAAATAAATTAAAAGAATAATAGATTTTTCAAAAAATATATAAATTCGATATATTATTTGTATTTCTAATTTTTTTTCACCAACAATCACTTTGTTGTAAATGAAAATCGTTTGTTTTATTATTTAATTTTAAGATAAAAATCAATCGACTGTAGTTAATTAGCCACAAAAAATATTTCAGAAAAATCGAAGCAAAATGTTTAGATTCTTTTGTTGTGTATGTTTTAATAAAACCATACCTTAATTTCCTGGTAAAGCAATCCCTAACGTCAAAGCTTTCTTCAAACAAATAACAAAAAAGCGTATGTTTAGAGTTCTCTGTTCTCTTGATGTAAACAATCTCGAAATCTTCGCATCACGCATCAATCAATCAAAAGGTCCGACACATCAACTGGCGGGGCAAAAAACAAAAATCGAATTTCCTGCGGGCCCCCCACAGCGCTTGACTACTTAATTACACGGGCCGCTTCGGGAACCACTCTAAATATGAAAAAAAAAAAATCAAAAAAAAAAAAAACATTTCCATGCCATTTGGAAATCTGAAAACCACTTGAGTCTCGGCTCGAATATGGTGCGTTGGGCCATAAAATACGAGCGCACCCAGTTATGCCGCAATAAAAATCGAATGCAAAACCACAAAAAAAAAAAAAAAAACATTTTTAGCATAAAATGAAATTCAATATGACAGACCACCCAGATCCATTGAATATGAATAGGGCATCTATAGAATTATGTATATGGACAGGCGATTCCATTGCGAGACAAAATTTATGGATTGAGCTAGCGCGTGAATCATTTGCGGGGAATTTTTTTTTTTTTTTTTTTTTTTTAATTTTTTGATCCCAGCTCAAGGGATTACTGCTCTATATATACAGAGGATCTGATCGGAGGAGCTTTGTGTGAGTGGCATAGCTTTCCCATGTTTCTCACGTAAACGTGTGCCATAAAACTTGTAGCTACCATAAAAGTTATATGCCACTTGATAACGTTTTTGAATACGAAATCTCGTGCATTGCCACATCCGATCTTGGGTATGTACACGCTATATACATATGTATGTCTTATGGCTTAAACTCTTTTTTTATTTTCCCATCTCGCCCGCCTGGCATTTAAATGGAACAGTGGTTTGTTTTTATTTTCACATGCCATTCACACAGCTGCGCAGAGGCTGTCAAACAAAATAGCCAAAGAAATGGATATAATGCGTCACCGCTGGGACTATTTAATGTTTATTTTTAGCAGGGATACGGAATTTCGTATTATATTGCTCCATACAACGATTTCCCCGGCCGTTTGCCGCCACCATTAAGGACCACACACACAGTTTTTCACATTTGCTTGGGCGGGCTGAAAGGTAAATTGATTTCGAAGCAATTAAAAATGAGGCCCAATCGAATGTGAAACCGTTGAATGCAAATTCTCGGTGCCGCCAATTTATGGCGCCCCCAAAACGTGACTAGCAAACCGTCTGCCGCATTTATTACCATTTTATGCTCTTTATTTTTGCAGCGAGCCCGTACCAAAAAAAAAAGCAAGAAAAGATACATATTTGCATGGCCGTAAAATGAAATCGTTAAAAAAGGTTTGAAGGTCACAGTGCGACGGCTCAGGTGAGCGGTCAGGCGGCAGACGGTTTACAGTTAACTCCAGAAGCGCCAGGTGCAAAGCCAAAGGACCACCGACATGGCTACCCGATTATTTTCCCTCCCCAAAGGCAGCAGTCTGTCAAGAAAGTTTTGTAATAACTTCGATTTCAACTGGACTTGCAGCGAAGTAAAGTGAATTGTAGTGAAGTGAAATGAAGTGAAGTTCACCTGTCCCTGCCCTCTGGAGAGGCCGTAACAATTTTAATTTCTTTATTATTTCGTCTGAAAATCGAAAACGCAGCCTACCTGACCGCCGGCATAGCATTCGCAGGTACACACGCACGCACTCCCAAACGCTTGGTATCGTATCATATCGTTTCGTTTCGAGTTCGAGTTCGAGCTCGAGCTCGCGTCCGTTCAGCGGAGTTTTGTCCGTCCGTCCAAAGGGGCCTCTGTCCGTTAACTGCTTTTTCAGTGAATTCCGTGATTATTGCTTGAATGTTTCTTTCCGGTATTCGCTCTCTGTCACTGTGTCTCCGCAGTGTATACCTTTTTCTTAGTCTGTCTCTGTTTTTTTTTGGCTTTAGGTCTTGATCGTAAGTAAGCCCCTCTCTGGGGTTTCGGGTTTTGGGACTGCGACTTGGGCTTGGGTTTGGGTTTGGGCCTGGCTTCGGGTTCGGGCTCTCGGGTTCGGGCCGCGTGCTGTGTGGTCGAGTTAATGTCTTCATAATTCTCCCGATTTTTCTTCTTGTCTCTCTCTCTTGGGCCGTTGTTATGTCTTGCTTCGGCCTCAGACCTCAGACTGATGAAGACAATAACAGTTTTATGTGCG